TAGAGAACATGGCTCAGAATGATACAGTGAAGCTGATAGGTTCTTGGTCGAGCCCTTTTGCCCTTAGGGCTCGAGTGGCTCTACACTTGAAATCAGTCAAGTACGAGTATTTGGACGAACCTGATGTTCTCAAGTCTAAGAGCGAACTCCTTCTCAAGTCTAACCCTATTCACAAGAAAGTCCCTGTCCTCATCCATGGCGATGTTTCGATCTGTGAGTCACTCAACATCGTTCAGTACGTCGACGAAGCTTGGACCTCCGATCCTTCAATCCTTCCTTCTCATCCTTACGATCGAGCCAATGCTCGGTTCTGGGCTCTGTATGTCGACGACAAGGTAACGAATTAGTCTTAACTCCATGGATCTCTGTTGGATTTTTACTCTTGCTCTGTTTTTCTTGTCGAAGTTTGAAACTTTATTTTTCAAGTTCGATCTTGAGATTCGAATAATAGTTCTGATTGGATTGAGATCCGATTTGCTGAACATGGGTATTCGAAAAATTAACGAAATCTACACAATTCAATAGAGACATCTCTAGATTAGAAACAGAAGGAATCGGATATTGATTATGTGTGTGTGTATGAAACAGATCTTTGCATCGCTGGATGCGGTGGCCGGAGCAAAAGACGACGAAGGGAGAATGGCGGCGGCGGGAAAGCTAATGGAGTGTTTAGCGATACTCGAAGAGGCGTTTCAGAAAAGCAGCAAAGGGTTAGGGTTCTTCGGAGGAGAAAACATGGGTTTCCTCGACATTGCATGTGGGACGATTTTGGGTCCAGTCTCTGTGATCGAAGCGTTTTCCGGCGTCAAGTTTCTCCGGCAAGAGACAACACCTGGGCTTATCCAATGGGCCGAGAAGTTTNGGGCCCATGAAGCTGTGAAGCCTTACATGCCTACCGTCGAAGAGTTCGTTGCGTTCGCAAAGCAGAAGTTTAATGTTGAGTAGTGTGATCTGTTTCTAAAAGAAATGTGTGGAAGATGAATGAATGAATTAATGATGTTCGTCGTCTTTGAGATGTTATTATGTTCTCTGAATTTATCAAAATCATATGATGCATTATGTATAACTAGAAAAATAAGGTGGCATTATGTATTGTATCGGTTGATTGTATAATCCTTTTTTTTTTTTCCCGTCTAATTGATATTTTGATTTGGAAAGGAATACATCATAAAAAAAGGTCCACAAATATGGGACAACTCCAACAGTCTAACCAAATATTAAGCAAGCACATATGTTTAAAATTCTTTTCAAATCTATTATATAATTATGGAGTTTTCTCTTCATCTAGGGTGTTCACATAAGCAAAAATATTTTTTAAAACATGTAAGTTTTAAAATGATCATTTACTACACACTAAAATCATATTTATTGTTTTTTACAAATAATAAAAAATAATTAAAAAATGCGAAAGACTAAATAAAAATAATAAAAATGAATATTAATAAATACAAAACTATACATGATAATATGAATTTTTTTTACCAAAAATATATATTACACATATAAAAAAACTAAAAAATGTGTTTATGAATTTTATAATTGAAACAATTAATAAAAATCAACTAACGTAGTAAAATATTAAGAAAAAACAAATATTTTCTATATTATTTTTAAAAGTTATATATCCTATGAAATATGAAAGATTTTTTCTTATTAAAAAGTTTGTAGGTCAATTAAAAAAAAATCTTACATTCAATCACACATTAAGAAGACCAACGTTTAAGAATAGTATCCTTAAATCTTAATTATTTTTCTATGATGAACAAAAATCAAAGCTTACGAGACGAAAATAAATGAAAAATGCATTAAACTATTTTTATCCATTAAAAAGCCATTTCAAAAAGATCTACAAATTCTTTAAACTCTAGCTAGCAAAACTCTAAATCAAACTTGAAGAAGAAAACTTACACCTTACTGATGAAGAAATAATTTTTCCCATTCCGCGATTGAAAAAAACTGTAAACAACAAGCAAACAAGACATTGTTCAGTATCTTCCATATGCCACAATACTAAAGACATTGTGAAGTGTGAAGTATAAGAGAATATCAAAGAAACATTGTGAAGACATATGGAAACCACCTATGATTGATAAATCATACTATAAATCTAATTAAGAAAATGATTGATAAATTTTAATTTCAAATTCGTAGTCGGTTACTTAGATAATATGATTTATCTAATGGCTAAATATATGTACATAACA